TTAAACTTAAAAAATAGATTTGTTCTGATCAACTGATTGAACATCACATTTTTGTTTCTATTTTTCATATAATTCTAATATGATCGGATTTACCATCTAAATTACTAAGGAGACTAGTAGGGTTAAGGAAACTCAGAAACTAACCAAAGTCTTTCACATGTGCAGTTACAAAAGTTCACTGCTTTTACCATTTTCACTACCGGTGAAAATCTTTGTAGATCTAAACCGCGATTCACTACAGTGACATAGCCCAAAATCAAGCTAAATTAAAAACCCTTCGATGTCTTACACCGAAGAGCAAAAAAGGGTAAAAGAGAAAGCCCAAAAGTCGATGACTCAGGACAAAAAAACAAACATTACGAGAGAGAGAGACAAGAAACAACTACGTGTCTCGTCTAAGATCAACCACCACAACACTTACGTTGTCCGAACTTTGTCTAGCCAATGCAAGCCTCGTCAGCAACAGCGAAGCCTCCTCACACGCTTTATCCGGAAAATCTCCTCCTCCGACCACCACATTCCCGGCGCCGACACCTTTCATTTCCATTTCCTGTGAGGATGATAGTTGACCATTGACTTTTCCTCTCAAACACATTCGAACGACGCTACATGCAGTTTCGTTTGAAACAACGTCCCAAAGACCGTCACTTGCTAGAATAAGGAAATCGTCTCCGTTGGCCCGGTCTGTCACGGTTACCTCCGGTTTGCTGATTACATACGGTTTCAAGTAATTATCTCCTGAAAAGAAAAAAAAACGAGATTTAATTATCATCATTATTGAACGTACGGAAAAACTTTGTACAAACATTAGGATAGGGACATAGTGTTTCGTCAAGTGTAATCAATTAACTGACCAATGGCTCGTGACATTGCAAGTACTCCAAGGACACGTGGGCCATCCCAGTAGATAACCCGACCACCCGCTGCTTGAATCCGGTCTAGCTCGTCCGGACGGTCGGGCTGGTTAATTAAACAAGCGGAAAGAAATAGAGTCATATTGATAACAGTGACACGACGGATTAAAGAATCTAAAACTCAGAAACTTTATCAGATCCTCTAATCTATAAAGTCATTAACATTCTTAATTGCCGTCCAGGTGTTGCATGCCCATTAAACAAAATTCGAATTTCCAAAAAATTAAATAATAATTAAAAACCCATTAAATATTAAGAAAAAATGCATTAAACAATATCGATAGGTAAGTTTCGAATGCGACACGTAACGAAATTCTCGTTTCCATTACAGTGAGTAAACCATAACCGTAGATCTAACGGATAAAAATTTAACGATGAATAAACAAAAGAAGAGAGATTATCAGAAAACGAACAAAAAACCTTATGATCGGAGGATAAAGCAATGGCCTTCCCGTTACGGCACAGAACGGCGCGTGAGTCACCGCAATTTGCCACGATGATTTTCTCCGGCGTGAGAACAGACACAACCGCGGTGGATCCCACCGCGTCACAGTCCGGCCGCTGAAGCTCGCAACGGCATTTCGCCGCACCATCGGCGTTCAACGCAACAACCTCCATGTCCATGCGCGTGAAGCTACGCGCCATTGACTTTTCCCAGTCAGCATCAGCTTCAAACTCTTCACGGACTAGCTCGTGTAGTCTTTCTCTGCATCTCATCGCTACCTAAACATATTATTAAACAATAAAAACGACGTCGTAACAGTCAATTAAGGCTAATTTTTTAATTAAACGGCGTCGTACATGGGAACAGCCATGGCCATCGTAAACGCCGCAGTAGTGAAATCCGGAGGAGGAATATTCCGTCTGTTGACGGGAAAAAAAGCGGATGTACAGCGACGGCGTCTTCCATTTCTCGTCTTCTT